GGAACTTAGTTCAAAATTCAGCAATTCCTACATGGGATTACGTCGCATGTACAGTCAATCATGTGCAAGTTCTCCAAAGTTTCAGATGACGCTCGATTCGTCTTCAAGGAGTGGCGTATTACAGATACGACGTTACAGTTATTGTCGATGCATTTAATTACAGTCTTCGCTATAAAGGCCTTAACTTCGATAGTGGAAGTTGCTATATAACTTGTTTCCATACTAACGTCTATATTAATGCATTAGTTCGACTGTATTTCTAATGCTTCTGTTGTCTTCGGGTTTCGATAGTTTCGCTCTCGGTACATTGGCACAATCCCTTCATGTGCCCTCATAGAATGCAGTGTTGTTTTTGTTCTGCATGCTGCGCAGCCGTCCAGTTGTTTTTCCGTTCCTGCTTACCCATTTGTGTTCGCCTTTTTCATTCTGTGCTTGTCCATTGTGACATAGATCACCTAGTCAACTTCTTGAAATGATCCTTCTTGGTCTCCTGCATGGTGTTGCCGGTTTCTCATACGTAATTGAAACCAGACTCACAAGGTAGGGTGGAAATCCAGCTTTGTTGTTGAGGTTTCAGCTCGGTGGCATTTGGCATGCATCAGCTGACTCGGTAATCCCCTCTCGTTTTTCGGGATCTGGATACTAACCGTATTTCGCGTTATCGGGCGATCCTCTGCCCCTTCTCGCTTAGATATGGTACGTATTGAACAACAGTTCTGGTGTTGATATTCCGTTTTTCACTATTAGCTGCTCCGTTTGCTGACTGTTGAATGGCTTCCATCAATTGTCTATGGTCGCAACTTTGGCGAGGGCTCTTCGAGTTTAGGCTACTTCCTATTGGATACCACTGTCGCTGGAGTTCAACTCAGCATGCATAAAAACGTCGGCATGGAGCAAAGTTCGTGCTGGAGCAAAGTTATGAAGCAACTCATAGTATCGAGGCTATCACCTCAACAGTGAAGCTTGGATCTAAATACTTTACCAACAAATACTGCAACGTTGTGTCTTAAATATATTGCTCTCAAAAGACGGATCGTGTATAATCCGAAGCGTTCGAGAACTTGTACATAATAAACATTAGAGGTAGTGTAATCCCTTAAAGGATTTGTCGATAGTTGACCCTAATACATGCTAAACTTACATAATCGTTAGATACTTTTCAAATATTTATCAAGAACTACTGTTTTTATCCGAGTTAAACCACGTGATGGTCATCACATTGAGTACTAGGCTAAGTACCAGTCGAAATGCAGCCGGAATGCCACGTTTCGGCGTAGCCGATTAGTCACGGTTTTTTTCGGGCGCAGATCGAGAGTCGTTGTCAACTCACAGTGTTGTGATGGCGAGTTTGAATCTATATGATTGGACGGCGGTCACCTACATCAACGGCTGAATCTAGCCCCCCCCCAATGTTACATATCTTTGAAAATATCTGTAAACACAGGTCATTTCTAACATTTCAATGTTATGACTCGATTGTGCGGACTGCGCGAGCTCATCAAGTCAGCGCGGTCATATGATCACGAGTTTGATAGTATCTATTAGCAGATGCTTGCCTATCTCCAGTTTCGGAATTTTTCCTCATTTACCTCCAATGCAAACCACTCGGCACGTAGAATACAAATATTACGTTCAATTACTAAATATCAAGGTTCAGATTCTTGTTTTATGACGACACGATTATGCGACTTCATTAAATATGGACAATGTTACTTGTTAGTGCTCTTGATCTGTACCATTTCACGATCCCCAAGTTTTCATATGTTTTATCATTTTGCATATCAATGGGCAGCTCAGTGAGAGCACAGTTCAATCCCGTGTCAAACTTAAAAATGTGCAATATTTGTGTTTAGTTTCATGATTGTATATGACGAATATTTGACATCATTAAGTTAGGTCCAGCTGTGTTACTCCCCATATGGAAGTTGATTGATGGACGTCTCAAGGTACAAAAGGGTAGAGAAGTATATGCAGGACAACTGGCATTCGGACAACAGTCACTAGTCAACTTCAAGGTGCGTTATGACACTGAGAATACAGATTATCAATGACTATCATAACAGTGATGCTATTATTCATCTCCGTGAATTATTATTTTACCATTTTTATTATTTTCATTATTTATTTTACCATTTTCTTGGCCACATTTTCCACCTTCAGCGCTTCGAGTATGAACCCCTGTTGCCTGTCATCGCAGCAGCTCCTGTTGAGCATTCACGAGAAAACGATGTTCTGTTTTCTTCGACTTTT